TTAACTACACACCCTCCTTGATAGCAGTGCACTGAACTGACCTCCTAATGTAGTAATCAGCTTAAGTTGAGATGTAACAGAAGTATCAGCAGATCTTTATTTCTGTATTGTGTAGCGTAGGGACTTGGTTTTATCCATCAGTTGCTGATTGGATAGAGGTGGATCTAAATGCAGACTTGCAGTTGATTGTAAGAAAGGGGCTTAAGCAGACTAAATGAGTAGGGAAGTCTGGTGTATGTCACCAGAGACAAGTTGTTTCAAGAAGATCAAATTATGCTATTTTTAATTAAAAGTTATGGTGAAAACATATTCTTGGATGAATCATTCACAACGAGATCCCCAACATTTAGAAAATAGGTGAATTTCCAGTTCATGCAGGCTTTAAGTAAATAACTAATTAGTGATATTCAAATCAGTCACTTTGATTAACACTGAATAAACTAGACTGGATAGAGTTAAAGGGGTCCTAGTATGGTCTTTTACAAAGTCTTGATTTTGTTTGGGGGTGTACTAGAACAGAAAAAAACACATTATTTTTCACATATTTTACATTATTACAACACCTCTCTCCCCAGTCTGGCATGAAAGGCTCGAATAGTTCCTGTATCAAATAAACTATGAAATGTGCTGTGACTGGTTAGCTGGGCCAGTGTGTGTTGTGATTGGTTAGCTGGGCCAGTGTGTGTTGTGATTGGCAGCACTCGGCGCCTGGTCGGGAAATGTCATGCCCCTTACCATAGCCACCTGCGAACTTCAGTGTAAGTATTGCATCAAAATCAAATAAATTTGAGCGCAATTTAAACCCGGATGATTGTAACCACTCTTAAGTTCAACTGCCTTGAGAAAGCTAGCTTGTCTCCGACATAGTGATAACACTCGTTGCCTTCTCTAGTGCAGCTCAACCAGGTCTCGTCCCATTCGTCAATATTTGTGATATCACAAATCCCGGAAAATATGCATTGTAGTCCAAACGAGTCGTTCTTTGTAGTTTTTGAAAAGTGATTTCTGTTAAATGAAATATCTCCTTTTGAAGTGGACTTTGAGCTTTGTAACTTTGCAGATCTTTTTTATGCTCAAACAGCAACATTACAGACTAACTAAAGTTGAAAAAGTGAAAAAGCATAATAGGACCCCTTTAAACTAAACTCATGCAGTTGCATTAAGGTGCTCTGGACATAACTAACATTCAATGCTTTACAAATAGTGTGGTTTCCACTTAGGCCTATGTTGTTGACTGTACTATTTACTGCTTTGATTTGTATAAAACTAATTTATAACCATATTTCATTGTACAGCTAAAATTTGCCATTGATACATTACTATTGTTAAATTTAATTTCCCCCCCCTTTTATTTATTTTGTTTGTTTTTATTTATTTATTTATTTTAGTAGCCTGTTTTGTCCCTCAGGTGTCAGGTGTCTACTGACATGCTTTTGGAGGACGAGACTTTGAAGAGAATCTGCTTCTGTGGCTAAGCCTGGTGGACGCTAGCGATGGTTTAATGGTTGATGGTGTTTCTGTCTAGTACTTGGATTAACAGATCTAGAGAACAGTTTCTGTCTGTACTGAGAATACCCTTGTTTTTGATCTAGCATCAGGTCTGTGAAATAAACCATCTCACCCAAAATTATGTTTAGATTTACATGTGTGCACCTTATGAAATGAAAATGTGAAATGAGTGAAATTAAAATTCACTCGTCACCTACGTTTACAATTTAGTAGATAAAGCACAGCTTGCCGATTAATGCTTGTAATCAACTCTACTGACTCTACTTGATATAATTTCACATGCAATAAGATTCAATGTCTTGAACTTTTCTTACATTTTAAAGAAGCTCCACAAATGTGCCTTCTTTCCAAAAAGTATTTTTGGCAGAATCCATCATAGCTGATCTGTGACTTCTCACTTTTTTAAGTGTTCACTACCACAACATTCCCTGCTGGGAATTCATTACTAGGACTGACTACACTAGGGGCACAAACAGCTTTTTCAACTGAGTTGGGTTTTATTTCATGAAGTGTAGAAATTCATCATGTCAAGATTTCCATGGAATAATTTCCAAAGGCTTAACACAAAGTAATTTAAAGAAATGGTTTACACAAAAATAAAAAATTCTATCATAATTTACTCACCCACAGATGAAGATATTCTTTCTATTTTTGTCTATTTATTGAAAGTCCAAGCTACCAAAACTTTCATGCATTGAAAAGCACAAACTCACATTGTAAAAGTAATCCATATGAATAAAGTGGTTTAAATTAAACCGTTAATCCATGCTTTATGAAAAGACATGATCGCTTTATATAAAGAACAGATTTATTTTTAGATTTTATTTATGTGTAAACATTGTTTAACACCCATAAATAAATCTCATAAAATATGGTAAACACAGAAGCTCGATTGTGCTTGCTTCGCACATGAGAACCAATGAGGTTAGTTCTCACATGTGAAGCAAGCATGGTTGAGCTTCCAAGTTGTCTCATTCTTTTGATGCGTGAAAGTTTTGGTTGTGTTGTGTGGACCTTTCATGGGTTTGCCTGCTCATCCAGTTTTAATAGTTAATGCTAAACTAACTCTGACTTCAACCTCTACGTCGTAGGCTACACGTCGGTTTCATTTATACTTCTGTGCAGTTGTCCGTGTCGACATGTAATTACACATGCAAGACCACTAGTAGTGTCCACAGGAATGTTGCTGGTGTAGCCCACATTATCAAAGCAAAAGCCGAAGAAGCAGCTTGTTGTGTACGCTGTCAGAGAAATATCAGCAGTGATGGCGGCAAATAGACAGCGAATTTAGCTGCAGCTTGAGTTGTTCATATATCTTTATTTTCACTGTAGTTATGTTGCAAGCAGAAATGGAATGAAATGTGACGCTGTCGCAGATTGTTTTTTTGACCCGAAGGAGGGGTTCTAGCACACAAATCACAGTGCTTGCAGTCTGCGTAGAACTGATGTGTTACATTTTTGGAGATGTGCATTTCAGGCAACGTCGTAGGCTACACACAGCATACAATGTAGCTACGACGTAGGTTCGATGTAAAAGTATAAATCAGCCTTTAGGCTCCTCCCGTACTTATGTTTGGAACTTAATTTAATGAATGGACAAAAATATGACATTAAAATATTAAAAATAACTTCATTTGTGCATTTGGAATGACAAGAAGCTGAGTAAATTATGATATTACATTTTTGGGTGAACTTTCACCTAACACACTCTTATAAGAAAAGAGTGTGTACAAATGTGGGCTGTCAATTCAAAAAATAAAATAAAAAATAAAGCATTTCATCAAGCCTCCTCATAACCTGCTAATAAGGAGCCATTCACACATGATGTGTTCTTGCATTGAAAAATAGTTGAAACTGAATGGAACTAAGAACAGGGTCTCAAAGCATATATGTATTTTTTTTAATTTACAGTTTAAAACTTAACGCAGCACTAATGGTGTGAGACACTGAAAAACATCAAGACAGAAAAAACAGCCCAAAACGTGTATCTACACAGCACAGGGGTCAGCATCAGCAATTTTTCGGCATGTGTTAAACTCTAGCTTGTGAGCAACAGAAGAGAGTATACAGTATTTCATTTACAGGTGCATCTCAAAAAATTTGAATATCGTGAAAAAGTTCTAGATTCATTACATGTAAAGTAAAACATTTCGAAAGTGTTTTTGTTTTAATTTTGATGATTAGAGCTTACAGCTCATGAAAGGTGCCTCAGCAATGCCACAGGCAGATCATTTCCATGCCACAACTCACTGATGCTGGAGTTTGTGTTAAAGGAGCCCTGACCAAGTACTGAGTGCATAAATGAACATACTTTAAAGAACTTGAACTTTTCTGTTTTGCAAATCCTTTTTTTTGATTGATCTTAGGAAATATTCTAATGTTTTGAGATACTGGATTTTTGACTTTCATGAGCTGTAAGCTCTAATCATCAAAATTAAAACAAAAACACTTTTGAAATGTTTTACTTTACATGTAATGAATCTAGAATATATGAAAGTTTAACTTTTTGAAATAAGTAAAAAAAAAACTTTTTCACGATATTCTAATTTTTTGAGATGCACCTGTACAAGAAGGCTCTTGCATCTACATATCTACATTGTGAGAAAATCCTTCCTTATAATCACAGTTGGTTTTATTAAATCACGAGCTAGAAATACTAATAATTGGTGAGAACTAAGGTGCACTATTCATCAGATCAAACTATTTGTGTGATTACAAGCTGCAATGCAGATCAAGGCAGTAGTAATGTGCATGTCCATTGACAGAGCAAGCGGAGGTGAGCAGGCATTACCAATAATGTCTCTATGGGAGCCGAATAAATGTTTGAGAAGAGCAAGCTGTGACAATGATAAAACTGTTTAGAAATACTCAACTAAAGGAGATTAACTAGGAAAATAAAACATGGGAGTGATCGGATGCATGTTTACAAAAATTACAGCCTGTCAGATAACTTACACTTTAAGGAACCAAAACTTTAAAACCAAGGTACCGAACCATCATTTCTCTGGAGAGACCTAAAAATGGCTGTCCACCAACTTTTACCATCTAACCTGACAGAACTGGAGAGGATCTGTAAGGAGGAATGGCAGCGGATCCCCAAATCCAGGTGTGAAAAACTTGTTGCATCTTTCCCAAAAAGACTCATGGCTGTATTAGATCAAAAGGGTGCTTCTACTAAATACTGAGCAAAGGGTCTAAATACTTAGGACCATGTGATATTTCAGTTTTTCTTTTTTAATAAATCTGCAAAAATGTCAACAATTCTGTGTTTTTCTGTCAATATGGGGTGCTGTGTGTACATTAATGAGGAAAAAAATGTACTTAAATGATTTTAGCAAATGGCTGCAATATAACAAAGAGTGAAAAATTTAAGGGGGTCTGAATACTTTCCGTACCCACTGTATATTGTAATTAATAGCATTTTTGCAAATTTTATTTGATTGACAGTTGAATATAACCATTTGTTTAGAAAGGTTAAGACTAATGCTGACCTCTACGATACTCCGCAGATCTCTCACATACATCCGCTCCGTCTCAATGATCTCCATGACCACACGGTCCAGGTAGGTGAGCTCAGGGTTGGGTGCCATGGTGCTGGCAGCAAATGGAGAGAAACTGTTGGAAACGGAGGAGCTGTTGTTGCTGTTGTTAACAGTGTTGCTGCTATTTTGTTGGAGGAATAGGGTGGTTGCTTGGGTAAGACTAGTGCCCTGAGTCTCATCCGGATCAGCAGCCGTTAATTCCAAATCCACGTTGTCCTCAATAGGCACACCAGCAGATGGGATACCTGACAGGAGAACGTCTTCCCGAGAGAAACCAGACCCGGATGAGATGCTGGAGACCACGCTTACGGGCCTCTGGACTTCTGTGAAGTCAGAACAATCAGACAGTGTAGCAATGGAGGCCCGGTCATTACTGCCAACAGAGGCGGTGGACAACCGAGGTGATTCTAAAGTAGAAATGGCAAAAAAAGAAAAGAGAGAGTGATTTATCTTCACATCATAGACAATCACAAGGCATTTTTCACACTGAAATGGCTATCCTTATCATCCTATGACAGCACTGATATTCCTTATCATCCAATAAGTCAAAAGTAGGATTCTACAAGACTGCAGCAACAATTTTCAGATTTTGAGTTTATTTGTGAACTGATGTTCAGCTATTGTTTTTAACAGACAATTTATTTTAGGCTCATCCAGTCATCAAAGCTTGATAATACCTCAGGTGTCACAGAAACGGAAATGTACCTTCCACCAAGCTGAGTGCACGCAAAATTAGAATCAATAAGTGAGACACGTTTTTCAAAGTAATTTAGTTTGACTGGACATGACAGAAAGTGGTGATATCTACGTAGGTGAGTTTCTATTTTTTAATTAGTATGTTCATTTATACCAATTAGATTCATTCATAGATTGTTTTGTGGGTGCAGTATCCTAACAAACATGGGAAGCAGAACTAATTGAATTAAAAAAGCATAATAGGCCAATCATAGTGTGATGAGGCATTGCCTTCTCTCACATAACTTTTTCCCATTTATTCTCAACTATAGCATATCCACATCACGCATTAGGGGATCTATTAAAAATTTCAAACACTCTTTAATCTCATATTTCATAATATTTGCTGTGTTTTATTTTTGTACTATTGATTATTTTCTCCTAAAATTTTTCAGGAGACACTGCCTCCCTTGCCTACATGGAGAACGAGCCCCTGAAGCATATTTTTCAATCAAAAAAACTTTTTTTTGGTCACACCACCATCCCTAATCCCTGTTTTACACATGCTTTACTGGCAGTGCATATGCGGTGCATATTTTTTTTCTGTGCCCATGTCTACAAGTTAGTGCATTCACACTGCACATGGATGCAGTCCGGCAATGCGTTCCAGGAGTGGTGCATATGCAGCAGTGCAGTGATCAGTGAGTGTTTTTGATGTGCTGCACACGCTGAATTAAAGGGCCATTGTTCATGGTAAAAATGAACATGGACTGACATGAAAATGTAGTAATCACACAGTAAATGCTTCTAATTAAAGCCTACTGAATTTCACAGTCAACAACACTTGGCATTTTGGCTAGGTTTAAAGGCGGGAAATGTGCACTTTTAGATAAATGAGGTGACACAATGGATGGCACTCGTAAAGGTAGAAAAACAAAACTCTTTATGACCTGCAGGATTGCTTGTAATAAAGATTTAATTGCAAAAGAAAAGTCACGAGAGTCAACTTTTTAAGAAACATTGTATTAAAAAGTGTACTGTGAATCACAATGCTGACAAGCATTTTCAGTAACAAAATGTGGATTTGGAATTAAATGGATAAAGGTTGCGTTTGTGGTATACAGCTCCAGATTATTAGCAGACTGCAAACGCGTCCTATGTGAAAGCACAATGAGCCCGTGCTGCTTCTGCACCACATACGTACCACACATGGACTGCATACAGAGCACTCCAAACAGAGTATGTGTGAAACAGGCGTAATCCCTAGAAATTATTAGCAAGAAAGTAGTGCATTTACAATTAGAATGTCTTTATTGTCATTGTACAGGTGTACAATGAACATTTTTAATCAGGATTTAAAACAGAAGCAGCTGTTTAATGCATTCCATCTGATAAAGTAATAAATAATGCAAAGCATATTAACATAGACTTTGATCAGCCAGGGAATAGCCTCACAATCACATTGATCAGAACTGAACCTAACAAAAGGACAATATTGCAAGAACGGAAAGGAATACTGCAAGAAAAGAAACTGGTCATTACAGCATATGTCTACTAGAGGAAGACCACCTTCTGAATGAAAATATAACAACAATAATATTAGCTGATGTAAATATAACCTCGATTTATTATAAAGAACATTTTCAACATGTACCTCATTTATCCTGAGGAACCGTGATATGAAGAGTTTCTAATTAAATGATAGTATTTACAGATATGTTTTTAAAAGCACTTTCTTAAGGTCCAAATTAAGATTTATTAAAAACGTTCAAACGACAGACAATCAATAAACACATACTTGCTCAGAGTCAGTGTCTCCCGTCTACCTTTTAGCTTATAAAAGTGAACTCGAAGTCAGCAGCAGGACAGAGGGAGGAAACTCATTTTTCTCCCTTAATTTCCATACGAGCATTTTGAAAGTAAACACTTTCAAACAGCACTGACGTCTCCTGCCAGCCCATCCCATTTATGCCTGGTTCTGGACTTTCACCTCTATATCTTCAAACCGTTGCTGGTTGCTCAATGACATCATGTGTTAAAAATAAACAATGCTTCAAAGTCATAAAAAATTATGTGTCTTTCATTTTTAATCCACGTTTTCTAACCCAAACTCTTTACATAAAATAAATGTTCTACTGTTTAAGACTAATATTTTTGTACAGTGTCTTGACTGGATGTTCAGTTCTTCTATAATAATTTGTCTATAGGCCAAACTCAAGTGAATGCTAATGTACAAAAAGAGTATACTTTGGGCTTTAGAGAGCTTAGCTTTCGTCAGGCAATCAGATTCAAGCATTCAATGGCCCCGTAGTATAAGTTGAGATAAATGTTGTAAATGTACTTCTTGTCCTAAGTACTAAATATTACAAAAAGTATTGATAAGAAGTAATTAAATTGATACTACGGAGCCACTGAATGCTTGAATCTGATTGGCTGATGAACATTTGAAAGTGTGCAATTATTTTCAGGGAAACGCTCTCTTGACCGCATTACAGTTCCATATCACTTCGCCAAATGATTCCCGTTATTTCAAAGGTCCTTACAGTGTACAACAGCACAATAACCAAAACCCACAATGACACTGGCCAAACAAATAAATATAGTAAACAATAGGATAAAAACGACAGATCATTTCCATGTTTTTGTCACAAAATTACATTTTATTATGTAGGGAAAGCACATATCCTATCTCTCCCACTCTCTCTCTGTCACAAATGCACATACAGTTTGCACACACGTTAACATACACGCTAATGTTGTTAGCGCTACTCTGACGATGTTATCGGTAAGAGAACTGTTAAGTTAACAACATGACTACATGACGAAGCAGTCCCAGCGATAAAAGATCCCGGACATGACTAGGAACTCCTGTAAAACTGCATCAAATGCCTGTGTTTTGTTGCCAATCGTCTTTTTTGTCCAATCAACAATTTTGTTGTAAGTGTCTTTTGCTCCACCCACGGCTCGCCTCCAGGAGCAAGGTTGCCAGGTTTTCATAACAAAACCCGCGCAATTGCTACTCAAAACCAGCCCACAAGGGTTTCCGGGGGGTAAAATACACGTAAAATACACGTTTTTGGTAGGGTCTCTCTGATAAAATTTGCATTCCAGGGGCTAAATATCATGTCATTGGGGTCGCTTCAACCCGCGGACATGAAAAACACTGGACTTGGCAACAATGTCCAGGAGCTCAGCTGTTTTTGGAGAGAATCGTAAAGCTGTATCTTTCTTTTATAAATCTGATAACACTGAAGACTTTTCGGAGATGTGAATGATGAAATACGAGTACATTTGGGACATGTGTACAGTTGAAACACCTTAAATAATTTGCGTGCAAAGGAACCCTGAGCCGTGATTTTTGCTCCACACAGGCGTATTAGCATTCTCTTTGATCATGGACATTTTGAAAGGTGTGCATCTTTCCACTCCAAAGATATTGGCAAAAGTTTTTTTTCCAAGGTAAGATTTTCATTTCACCATGTCCCTTCCACAACGAATAGCTTATTTTCCTTTTATGACTGTTAAACTTCACGTATATCATTGGTAACTTTACTCTGTGCTCGAAAAAGACATTTTATGATATTGTGCCATGCAGTCTTTGCATAATCTAGAGAAACATGCGAGTATGTCAGTGGGGTACGGTTGAGACACAGTGTATCAACTGTACCCGGATTGGTGTCCTATTGCGTCACATGCTGTTTAGCTGTACAGTGTTATGATAATATGTTAAAAGTCACATTTACACACATGCTAAGCAAATTATGTTTAAAAAAATTATATTTGTGATATAACAACTAAGCGAATATTTAATTACTTAATACTGATTTCTCACTAGAAATAACTTCAGACGCCATCTTTATTTTGTTCAACCATCACAGGAACACACAGGATTGTGGGTATCAAGGCAGTGAAGGATACATATTTTCTGCCTTTAAATATCGACCAGATGAAGGTATCTCAGGAGGCAGGAAGTGAAGCTAACATTGGATTCGACGTGTCTTGATGCCTTCCAACCTTGAAATGTGTCCTTCAAAGGCAGCTGTTTCCAGTTTCGGATGCAGCCGTCAGTTCAGCGTTGATTCTGCTCCGGTACCAGACACGCTTGTTCTGTCTAGTCGTATTGGAAACATGCTTGTTCTTAAGCTCTTGGTTGTTATCGGGAACATGCTTGTTAAAGGTCCCCTGAAATGCTTAGAAACACGCAGTGTCAATTTTGACAGCAAATTTTGATTTAGTTTTAGTCATAAGGCGCGTTTCCATTACCCTTCAAATTGCGGAAATTGAAATTGTGAATTGAAAATACGCTTAATGGAAACGCGTCAATTTCGCAAAAACGCCCATATATCGCAAAATTTTTTACACTCGCATGAGGTGGTTTTTCAGGCAATGCGAAAAAGGAATAATTTGCAAAACTGCAATGGAAACGGCTTTTTCGCATTTACAGGTCACATGGCGTATGTAAAAAGTCAATCATTCAATCAATCAATTCGATCTTCAATGTACTATAACCTCCAAGAATCACTTCATAAGTGGCCGCGCTCCAGTATAAGGGGCTTTCCCTGCCATTAATGCTTAGACAATTTACACTGCACACGTTTGCGGTGCAGTGTGGCTCTGATACGGTCACTAAAGCTGATTACGGCCACTCAATGCTTGTGTTTTTTTTTTATATAGTCTATGGTTCATTCCAGCCGTGCCACGCACGTTTCTGAAGCGGCTCTCTTTGCTGCTT